AAGTATATAGACAAATATATTTTAGATAAGCAAACTGTAAATAATCATACTATAAATGTTTTATAAATATACTGAAATGTATTTAAATAAACATATCATAAATATATTTAAATAAATATGCTATCTGTAAATATCCTATGTATAAATATAGGATATATTTAAATATACTACAAATATACATAAGTACACTATAAATATATATGAATATAGTATAAATACATTGCTTTTATTTAAAGCTGTGTCACATTTAAAGGTAGTGTCACATTTATAGCCTGAGTTTAGCAGGTTTTCCCCTGATCTCTTCTGGAAATAGCAAAGTGGCATCTCTTGGCTCGTTAGAACTGGCCAGAGGGTTTTCAACACATTCTATTTTTATTATCAACACATTCTATTCTTATTAAATTTGCCATAATATATTTAAAGCAAAAAGTGAATTCTGACATAGGATCAAACAATTATTTATTGGGTATTTTTGAGACAAGATCTACCCAGGTAAACATAGAAAAGTCACTTCTTTTCTTGGTTTGCTTTTAAATATCTTGGTGTTGAACACTGCAATGGCAGTATCTGCTTAGAGAGGGTACCCTGCAGGTGCAGTAAGTCATCAGGAGCAGGGATGAAGCAATGCCAGGGTTAGGAATGCCACGCTGGAGGAGTTTAGACATCCTTAGACTGGCTGTTGGAGGGGTAACGGGAGCAGGTGAGAAAAGAGGGTCAGATCTGGGCGATGCTTCCAGAGGATGTGCAGGTATTGGAGTAGCTGGTGCCAGGTAATACCTGGCACAAGTCAGTTTTGGGTAGAAAAGGGATGCGAGTGCTTCACATGCAGCCCTGTGCTCGTGGTAACCCTGCACTACTGTCTGCTGGCAGTAGGTGTAGCCACAAGGCTGTGGATTCCATTGCAAGACTCATCCAAAAGGAGACAGGGATAGAAATCAGTCACAAATCATTCTCATCGTGCCTTAAGCACTGCACACTTGCTGCTTTTTATCAGCCTCAGTGAAGGACTGAGGCTCTCAATCTTTATTTAATGGTTCAAGTTGCCTTTGTTTTCTCTCCTCTTTTGCTGGCTAATGTGTGGTATCAGTTAAACACAAAATTAATAGTTGGATTTTGTCTGGTCTGTCTCTCTGGATACTCTCTGTATGAATATCAGCCTGTTAAATGGAGCAGGTACAGCCCTTGAAGACTGGCCACACTTTCCAGAAATGTTAATTTCTGGCTTTTAATTTAGTGCTTAATTTCTCACAGTGTATTGCTTCTCTGGTGCCACGGTCTTTGCTACAGGTTGCTGCAATACAGTTTACTGGCAGTCTAAATACACATGGGTGATGTGGGGTAGTGTGGCAGATTTCTTACCATTGGAGTATCAGCTGTGTTAGTTTGCTGTTCTCCACTGTCGTGCACAGTTGTTTAGTTTTTGTTTTATCTGTTTCATCTCCAGTGTCAGGAATGAGGACAGAGGGTTTCTTCAGGGTTGTAGTGATCTCTGGAACAGTCTGTTGGAAAAGTAGGAAGGCAGAACTAGTGGCTGATGACTGTTTTAAGGCATTGGCAGTGTTCTCTGCTGCTGTAAAGCTGCACCTATAATTGGTAGACTTTGTTATTCAGTAGATCATAGAATCCTGGAGTGGTCTGGGTTGAAGGGACCTTAAAGCTCCTCCAGCTCCAACCCCTGCCCCGGGCAGGGACACCTTCCACTAGAGCAGGTTGCTCCAAGCCCCTGTGTCCAACCTGGCCTTGAACACTGCCAGGGATGGGGCAGCCACAGCTTCTCTGGGCACCCTGTGCCAGCGCCTCAGCACCCTCCCAGGGAAGAGCTTCTGCCTCAGAGCTCATCTCAATCTCCCCTCTGGCAGGTTCAAGCCATTCCCCTTGGCCTGTCCCTACATCCCTTGTCCAAAGCCCCTCTCCAGGCTTCTTGTAGCCCCGTTAGGTCTTGTAAGACTGTTACAAGGTCAGATAACCAAAACCACCATTCTTTAAATGTAAGAAGACTTATTGTATGTTAAGTTTGCCATTTGTCTGTTTTTTACAGTGCCACAAGGTTGCAGTAGTGAGAGAGGACCAACTCGAAGGTAAGCAAATTGTGAAGATTATGTGGTTTTGACTTTTCCTTTGAAAGAACAGCAAAGTGAGGAAAGCTCAGAACTTGCCATCTGCATGTAAGTGCCTGCTCAGGCTGCTGGGTTCAGGTGTGTACTTCTTGTACCAGCTTTTTCTCAGAATTTTCAATCTCTGAGCCAAGGGCTGTTACTTCAGGCTGGTAATTTGGGTCTGATCTTTTTTTGGGTTTTTTTATGTTGCATGTTTCAGTCAGTGATTCTTTCCAGCCTCCCTGCCACTGACAGGCAGCTCCTCCTTAAGGTCAGCAGTATTTTAGTAGTATCCAGCAGTGTCTCAGGGTGTGTTAGAACAATTCTAAGCCTTTAGGCTCCCAAGGATGCTGAAGCAGGTAATTCTAGTTGTTGGTTACATACAATTGCAGTCTTAATGTGCCCTGAATCCTGTGGGGTTTAGTTCAGATGTCCCATGAGAACGTTCTGACTCTTGTCTGGGGTATTTGCTGTCACAGTCAAAGGTTTAAAAACCCCACCACTATAACACTGCTTCCTGCAACTGCTCTCCACACACTGTCAGTTGTGTTACCATCTTTCCAGCGCTGGTCCAGCTGATAAGACCTGATCTGTATCAATTGAAACACAACTGCAGGCTCTTCCTTACTGTCAAATAACATCTTTGGCACTTGAGAACATAGTGTGGTATTGGTGACTTTAAATAGCCACACTCATGACCTCACTTGGGCTGTAAGACTCTCATTTATTTTGCTTTTTGAAATCTGAAGTGGGTTTCTTGCTAAAGCCTTCCTCATCAGAGGAGTAGATTGTTGAGCAGCACAACTACTATCTGTCATGTTTCTTGAATTATGAGTGCTACGTAATACTCTGTTTTGCTCTGGAGGAAAGGGTTGGGCATGGTTTTTGTATTAGAAGACAGGCCAAAGGTATGACTTACATTTGGAAGAGGCTGAGATTTTGTTGATGGGAGTAGGGCTGTATAGTCTAGGAGTGGCCCCACAAAATGATTACTGGGTTTATTTTTACAGTGCCTAGAAGCTCTGTCTCAGACCAGGACTGTGTGGAAAGAACAATATAAGCAATGAACAAAGAATTCCTAAAAACCAGCCCTTGTCTCAAGGGGGTTACAGTCTAAATAGTGTGGAAGAGACAAAACATGGATCCCAGCAGACTACTAGAGACGACACTGATGCAAGTTGATAAGGTGGATGCTACCTTAATGGCAGAGAGCAGTTCCAGCAGGGTAGGGTTATGGCCATCTCTTTTCTTCCTTAGCTTTAGGTAGTCATATAGATATGCCCCCATGGCAGGGGGTTGGAACTAGATGAGTTTTCAGGTTCCTTCTAACCAAAACCAGTCTGTGAATCTATATTCTGGATCCCAAGCACTGGATATTTTGAGGGTAATCACAGAGGGATTGCTCTCAATTCAGTTGTGTAAGAACTAGGAATATTGTGTAAGAACCAAGAGTGTACAGTGGGAAACATGTTTAACATGTGGGGTCTGTTACCCTGAGTTCTCACTTAGTGTACAAAGTGAACAAAGGTACAATTACATGTCTTTGTGTTCAGGTCCTTGCTGTCAAGTGATCTGTGAGTCTTTCTCCATCCTTTGTACAGCCTAACAGTTAATGTTGCCACTTAATTCTGTGCTAACAGAGGACTTTTCTCCTTGTTTCCCTCAGCAATGAAGTCTAAACTATCCACAGTTGCAAGCGTGCATGTCTACAGCATTCAGAAAGCTTTGCTCAAGGACAGTGGACCCCTCTACAACACAGACTATGATATTGTCAAAACAAACCTGCACAACTGCAGCAAGTGAGTTGCTTCTTGGTTTTTCTTCTTCAGCAGCTGGTAGAAGGCTAGCACAGCCTGCCAGGAACCCTTTAGACTCTTGGTGGCACATGTAGCTGGCATACAGGGGTCATGGTGGGAGACAGAAAATAAACCATGAAGGGAAAGAAGGATAAAGGGCTAGCACAAGCTGAAGCAAATGATTTTTAGGAGGGGAAAGGGGCAAATCTTATAAATGTAAAAACATGGGCAGGGAGTTGGAGGGATCAGCTCACTAGGGAAGGAAGTCAGGAGAGTCCAGCTGGTGTTTGTGTTGCAGGTCTGCTCTGTTACCTATAAGGGATCTCCTACACCAAAAGGCTGGTTGTTTAAAAGATGAAGTTGACAGGAGAAGTGTTGGAGATTCGGTGGTTGGACTTGATGATCTTAAAGGTCATTTCCAACCCAGTTGATTCTATGACTCTATGATTTGAGGCTGGGTAGATGTTGCTACATAGAGCACTTCAGCAGAAGTCAATGGTTCCCAGATACGCCTGGATTTTTAGAAAGCTAGAAGAGAGCTTCTAAGTTGTGCCAGAGCAGTCCGCAGACAGGTCATGGTATGATTGATTCATAAACTGAGCTATTTTCATCTTGCACTTGGTTCACTTGCTCTGTTACTCCAAGACACAGGCTGTTCCAGCACCTTTCTTCTCTGATGGCTGGAAACTTCATTCTCATTTCTAGGTCAGGCTTGATCAGGACCATTTTAATCCAGTGTTCAGTCACACAGTAAATAGAAACAGACTGAGAAAACATGAGTGATGTGCTCAGCAAAGCACTAACATGAGTTTGCCTTCTGGTTTGTGAGACTGGACTTACCCACTTCTCTGAAGATGTCTTACAGGAACCTCTTCTCCATATAAAAGAGCCTGAGGCATAGGGGAAGTGTCCAAAAGAAACCAAGCAGCAGAGGTGTCCTTCATGGTTGAACTAGAGAAATGCCCCATCCGTGGCAGTGTTCAAGGCCAGGTTGGACACAGGGGCTTGGAGCAACCTGCTCTAGTGGAAGGTGTCCCTGCCCGGGGCAGGGGTTGGAGCTGGAGGAGCTTTGAGGTCTTTTCCAACCTAAACCATTCTGATTCTGTAACAATAGTCCTAGAATTCAGAGGTGCTTCAGTCTCCAGGGGTCATTGTCTCCCCTCCAGAAGCTGCCTGGCAGCTGTGGCATTTTGTTTTATATGTTGTTTCCACCACGATAGCTTCAGCTTGATGTAATCAGGATGTACAGTGCCATGACCAATCTGGTTTACAGAGGGGGATGCCTGAATGTTGTGTCATAGAAAGAGTATATAATTTGAAAGTAGAAACAAAGTGTGGACAAGAGTGTGGCTGAGGAAAATACCACCCTGTGTTTCAAATGTGAATGTCAGGGCTAGAAAACGCTCTCTTGGTGACAACGGGTGTTGTAGGTTTGGCTGCAGTTGCCTTGTTCCAGCCTGTTTACTCTCAGGCACCCCCCTTGTGTCTCAGAGGGATCTCCCTTTAGGGTTTGTGCATCCAGGAGGTTCAGACAACTCAGGTTCTGCAGTAGCTTTCTGATGTGTAAATCCCTGCCTGGCTTTGGAGCAGGATTTCCCAAGCAAACTAAGAGACATTCAGCTGCTTCATTTGTGACCTGGCTGAACTAGACTCAAACTGAGAATGTTCCCTCTTCCCTGTCAACTACATGAATTGTCTTCTGGGACAAGATCCTGCAGTACCTGCAAAAGTCAGAGCTTTATAGCTTCATAGCAAACAACCTCTTGGCTTCTTACACTCCCCTGTCAGTCCATAGATCTCTCAAACTCTGGGGCAGGATCCTCTTCTGTGTTTATGTGGGACCTGTGATGCTGGGAAGGTGATGGAGGTATTTAGATGTGCTAATATAAATAACTGGATTTAATCTGTGTTGCTAATGTTGGCTTTCCAAGCAGAAGCAGCTCCTTGCTTGCAGAGCATAGTCCAAGTGTTGCTTGGTTTTTCAGTGATTATTCAGTGTATTTTGGATCAAGCTATAGTCACACAGCAGCACTAAGGCAAGCTAACTGGGAACGTGTGAGGGTAAAATGTGCTTGCTGCATGGTCAGTATAACTTTTGAAGATAAAATGTTGTTCTTTATATATGAAATATATCTTTCCTGAGGTGGGAAGGCTCAGGGGAGACCTTGTAACAGTGTTCCAATACCTAAACAAAAAGAACAAAGCTGGAGAGGGGCGTTGGACAAGGGATGTAGGGACAGGCCAAGGGGGATGGCTTGAACCTGCCAGAGGGGAGATTGAGATGAGCTCTGAGGCAGAAGCTCTTCCCTGTGAGGGTGCTGAGGCGCTGGCACAGGGTGCCCAGAGAAGCTGTGGCTGCCCCATCCCTGGCAGTGTTCAAGGCCAGGTTGGACACAGGGGCTTGGAGCAACCTGCTCTAGTGGAAGGTGTCCCTGCCCGGGGCAGGGGTTGGAGCTGGAGGAGCTTTAAGGTCCCTTCAACACAAACCCATCTGTGAGTCTGTCTGTAATGTGGAGGGGGGTGGTGGTACTTATGGGGGTGTTTGGAGTAGAAGCGAAGCTCCTTCAGCACTGACCATGTTGAAAACACTGAAAGTACAAAGGAGGGTAGGAATATCTTCCTTCAATGTCTTCTTTCCTTCCTTTAAAGGTCTGAATGTCAAAAGATTGCTGCTGCAGCCTAGAAATGCTGTGGAGATGGTGTTGTTTTGTTAACACATCACAGTTCCTGCTCTGAGGAGAAGTGGGTTGTCCATGTGAGCTGCTAGTGCTGAGGCAGAGAAATTAATTGGCAGAAGCCTGATTTAGTTCTTATGCAAATAAAACCACACTGTGTAATTCAGGGGGTTGGGAGGCCTCAATCTGTGCCCTTTTTGTGGCATTCTGTAGGAAATCTGGAAGGCTTTGCCTGTGATTTGCACAGTGGGGAGTCGAGGTCAGTTATTTTTGGGTCCTGCTATTCCTGACTGTCAGTGAATTGTAACTGTGAGCACGTTGTTCAGTTCCTATAGCTCTGCAGCCCCAAACAATCACACTTCAGACTGGTACAAGCTGAGATGTTTCTCTGTCTACCAGTGATTATATGGTGATGACTTTATGTACCTACCTCTGAATCATCTATTAGATGATCATCTATTACTACTGGATCTACTACTATTCAAGTAGTTCTACTTTCAGTTATGATTTATTTACCTGGCTGATGTGATTGTGGCTGCTTGTTGCCTCTGTAGTGGACTCTGTCAATGCATCTGGAAGTTGTAAATGTTTTGGATCATCAGCCAGACATACAATTTATGTTGTGAACTTTACAGAGCAGAACCCCTTCAGGAACAAAATGTAGTCTGCTCCATCTTGACCAGCTTGTTTAGCATTTGAATCATAGAATCATGGAATGGTTTGCTTGGAAAGGGCCTTAAGATCATCCAGTTCTCTGCCACAGGCAGGACACCTTCCACTAGAGCAGGTTTTGTGCCCACCCGGGCTTGAAACCCTGCCGGGGATGGGCCAGCCACAGCTTCTCTGGGCACCCTGTGCCAGCGCCTCAGCACCCTCACAGGGAAGAGCTTCTGCCTTAGATCTAACCTGAGTCTCCCCTGTTTCAGTTTAAACCCATCACCCTTTGTCCTGTCCCTACAGTCCCTGATGAAGAGTCTCTTTCTGGCATCCTAGGCCCGCTGTAGATACTGGAAGGCTGATCTGAGGTCTAATGTGCTGGTTGTTGCTGACAGCTTCAGCTTATCTCAGTAGAGGTCTCCATCCTCTCATTCTGTGCCAGCCTTTCTTTCTTGTCCCAGGCACAAACTACTTTACTCTTTTAACTATAACAAGACGTCGTGGTTCAAGCCCTGCTGGTAACTCAGAACCACGCAGCCGCTCGCTCACTCCCCTCCCTTCCTCCCCCTGCTCCCAGAGGGATGGGGAGGAGAATTGGAGGAATGTGACTCCCACAGGTTGAGATAACAGCACTCCAGTAACTAAGGTATAATACAAACCACTACTGCTACCAATAATAATGATAAGAGGAATAACAAGGGGAGAGGACACAACCGCTCACCACCCGCCGACCGATACCCAGCCCGACCCGAGCAGCGATCTGGGCCTTCCGGGTAACTCCCCCCAGTTTCTATCCTGGGCATGACGTGCTGTGGTGTGGAATAGCCCTTTGGCCAGTTTGGGTCAGGTGTCCTGCCTCTGCTTCCTCCTGGCTTCCCCTCCTCTCTGGCAGAGCATGAGACTGAGAAAGTCCTTGGTCAGAGTAAACATTACTGAGCAATAACTAAAAACATCGGTGTTATCAGCGTTGTTCCCAGGCTGAAAGTCAAAAACACAGCACTGCACCAGCTACTAAGAAGGAGAAAAATGACTGCTGTAGCTGATCCCAGGACACAGGAGAGCCCAGGACCAGAGAAGATGCTTCTGGGCAGGAAACCAAGGTGAAAAGTAAGAAGCTAATTAAACTTGTCCCTCCAACCCACAGGTTTAGTGCCATTCGATGTGCTGCTGCAGTCCCCAGGCCAGTGGTTGAAGTTCCTCCAGCAGAGACGTCTGTGCAGGATGCTTCTCAGACCAAAGGTGACAGGAATGCTGCCAGTGTCCCTGCAGTAAACGGCCATGGACCATCAAGTTCTAAACCAACCACACAGCAGCCCAAAGGGATTATGGGAATGTTTGCAGCAAAAGCAGCTTCCAAATCCCAGGACACAAATAAAGAAGCTAAAGTGGACTCTAAAGAGGCCCCAAGTGTAAGTAACCTCAGACCCGTTGGCAGCCCTCTGGGTTAATAGCTTTAATGGACCATGCTTTGAGCTTCCCTCTTACTCGGCCTAAATAACCTTAGCTACCTTAGCACAGCCTTGTCCACTGCTTCCAGTGCTAAACTTGCTGTCCCCCAGGAATGCTCAGGAATGTTTTGTAACTGTATGATAGAGATGTGCCTTCTGTCAGTCATCTTGGGCAGAAACATGTGCTGTGCTTTTGATCTATTCACAAAAGTAGATTTGCCATAACTCCTCATCCAGAGGAGAACATGGAGCTGCTGCGAGGGCTGGAGCAGCTCTGCTCTGGAGCCAGGCTGAGAGAGCTGGGCTGGGGCAGCTGGAGAAGAGAAGGCTCCTGAAGGGGACACCTTAGAGCAGCTCCAGGGCCTAAAGGGGCTCCAGGAGACCTGGAGAGGGGCTTTGGACAAGGGATGGAGGGACAGGCCAAGGGGAATGGCTTGAACCTGCC